TACAAACTGTTTAAAGCAACTATTTTAAAATACTTTAGCTTATTTATAGAATTCCCTTTCCAAGTTTGATTCAATTTTCACTGTCTATACAATTAAGCTGTTAATGCAATAAAATAAATTGATCCATAACAGCATTAGTAATTAGTCATCATTACAATTAGTTTTCTAAGTAAACTTTTAATAATTGTAAAATATAAAACTGTCATTTATTACCTTATTTTTAAAACAAAATGTTTTGGAAAGATGTGTTGATTTTCTGTGACTGTCTATTCATAGTGAGCTATTTGAAATGTTTATAGAAATGAACATATTTGATACAGACGTTCATTTACTAAATATCATTACTCACAATTGATAGGAGAAAAAGAAGTTCAAATATATTGATTTTGAGAAGCTGGTATTTCGTTTCAGTTTGTCTGTATGTCTTTTGATCTCTATCCACTTCACTTCTCTTTTTGATTAACACATGTCAATTGGCATAGATTTATATAGATGAGCTGACATTTTTGAATTGACTGACTATGACCTGTTGTTAAGACCAGTATTTATGTTTTCAGGGGGATATAAACTTTAAGTTTTTGGAATCAAACCAAGAAAGTTTGATTCTCTTTTTCTATACCACCTGATTTATTTTTCTAATATGTCTGCAAATTTCTAATCTCATTTTAGATATTATTTTTGGTAGTAAGTGCCTATTGTTTTGATATATATCCACTTTTATGTGTCTGAAATCTTTACACACTAGCAATTTTAACTATTATGAATATTATTAGAGATCTTTCAGATTCATCTGTAATGAAAAAAGTATATGATGTTAAAAGTCTTCATAATATTACAACAAAATGAACTTTTATTCTTTATTTATCTTATTTAATAACTTTTTTAATCAAATTTACCCCAAGCAAGGCAGTATAGCAACTAAGACAAGGGGTTACTGTGTGTGAAAAATTAGAAAACAGAAAACATTATGAAGGAGTGTGAACAATAGAGGAGTAATCAGGAAGATGATAGATACTGATTGACATTGCATTTAAAATTTTGAAGATCAAAATTGGCCAGAAAGCATGAGGTTAGAAGAAAGTTCCACAAGTGAAGAGAAACTGTTAACATATGGTTACATCTAGCCAGCCCAAATGTAAATTAATGAGACCAAATTGTAGTAATGAGCTTAAATTCTTAAAGTCTAAGTACCGTAATGAAGAGCTCCTCTGAACAATTACTATGTAAGTTTTTTTAGAAAAGGCACAGAGAGGAAACTTTATAGCAGTGGGAAAGTGATGGAATCTGAGATGCCAGGTCAGTACAAATAATATTGCTGATTCTCCTTTGGATTTTATCAGTGATCTGTAGATATATATCGGGAGCTCCAGACAATATGTGGCAGCTATAATCTAAGCATAGACGGATGGTAGACTTATAGTTATGCAAGATAGATTCTGGAGAGAAAAATTGTTTAGTCAATTGAACCAACTTTCTTAGCAGCTGACCTAACAATGAATTCAATGTAGTCTTTCCACCATCTGAGCTGAGAATGTTATGTTTAAATGAACATTTGCTACAAAAAATGAATGGTACTGCCTGAACACTAGTCTTATTTTCTTCCAGTCAAAGATCAATTGTTGTCTATCCTCCTTATCATCATAATCTTATCTTCCTTTTACTTTCTCTTGCATTCATATCACATCACACACTAGTATGAGTTGGTCTTAAGTCTTATATTGAATGAAGTTTGGTATAAAAAAAAAAATATATGCCCAATTTAATTGATTATTCTGTTGTAAAGACGTATCAATTCTATCAGTTATTTAATTTTTTTTTTTTTTTTTTTTTTTTTTTGTTAAATTACCAATTTAAACAAAAGAAATGTCTGCATTACCAGGTATTACTCTATAGCAAAATTGACCTAGGGTTTAACTTACTATTACTTATTTGTATTATTATTACTTATTTTTACTTTTTCTGTCAGTACAAGTTTTGCTACTTTGATACAATTTCTCTTTTTAATTCAATAATTAAGCAAAAATTTTTCTCCTACCCACCTGTGATATATATACTTATCTTACATTACACCTATCTGATCACAGCTCCATTAGAACCCATTTAAACACACACACAAATTTACCAGACTCCATTGGAAACATACTAGTAGAAAACACAAATATATTAACTGCATCTACCTGTAAAAAAAGATTTAAAATAATAGAAGCTTTAATTATAAAAAAAGAAAAAAACAACTCTTAACAATATTAACTACAAAGCCACAATGTGCTAACCGTATTCAGAAATTAAAACATCCCTACCACACACTAAGACATACACATAATGCACACATTCAATTAAGCTGAAAAATCGAATCATCCTTGATAATGGCTAAAGGTATAGCCAAAAGCACTCAAAACTATAAAACATTTGGACAGTTTTTATACAGTCTTTGTCCAGAAAAGAAAGCTCTTGTTCGAACACAAGAAAAATTAAATAAAAAGCTTAACCGTAGTACCTTGTCTGACATTTTTAATGAAACATGCACATATATATATATATATATATATATATATATATATATATATATATAGCTTCATTTATCTATTTACTTACTGAGCAGTGAACCATGGATGGAAAAAGAGTACTAAATGTTTCTTTTTTCTTTCTCTTTTTTTTTTTTTTTTTTACAGTGAGATCTGTGCCGGCTGCATGTTTGAACTTAGTGTGTACACTACTTAACAATACCTATAACAAAAAGACATTTAAAGTAGTTTATGAGAAATATCTTAAGTTTTCAAATTTCATTCTATACATGTGAACCAGCTCATTGCAGAAAGCACAATAAGAAACTAAATGCTATTAAAGCCAGCTGTAATATGAATGGCATAATAATAAAAATGGGGAAAAACACAGCAGAATTGGAGGTTTTGTTTCTTTTGGTTGTACCTAAACATGTAAGAACATAAAAATGACTCTTCACTTAATTGATAGTAGTAAGCGACAACAAAAGAACACCCTTAACTTCTGTCATAAAAATGGCTATGCATTATAAAACAAATTTATAGTACTTTTTTGTTATCTTTTACTGTTTTTTCCCTTTCCCTTTGCTTTGAACCTTTTCAAAATTTAAAAAACAAAAAAACACTTTTGAAAATAAGTTTAAGCATTAAAAAGATAGTTTCCTAGCTTAAATAAATTTTACAGTTGATAGAATTAGTGTCTAATTGTTTTCAATTTCTTATGCCATCTCCCTTCAGGGGATAGGCAATCATGGCTAACCACAGATTACTTTTTCTTTTTATTTTCTATGAATTTCTATGCTTTCTTGGCAAAGATAGTTAAGTGCTTTCCTGTTGCCTTCTCTACAGTTTGAAATTTATTGTAGACCTCCATTCATGACGTAGGCGATTATGGCTCTCTACATGTTCCTTTTCTTCATTATCTGTGAATGGCTATGAATACTTGGGCTACTAGAATAGTTTCCCATTGCTTTCTCCATGGTTTGGAATTCAAGGTAGTCTTTCTAGACTGGCTGACTTTTTTTTTATAAAAGTGATCATAGCTCTCTGCATGTTCCTTTCCTTATTTTTAAATTACCATACTTGGGAAAAATAGAGTAGTGGTTTCATGTTGCCTTCTCTACAGTTTTGTAATTGGAATTGTCCTAAAATGGCTGTCACACAGGTTTTGGGAGCACTGTTGATGCTGTTATTTAACCCATAGATGTTGGGGAAAAAGATGGATTCAAACCTTTCTCAAGGGTATTAGTCTGAAATGAATAACTTTTAATAAAATCATAGTATGATTATTTTAATGTTACCTTCTTCATTAATCTAAAAGGCAGATACTTGCTATGTGTGTGGTGCAATTGGCCAGGGTTAAGTGTAATTGACAAAGTTCTCGGTAAACAATAAAGAAAGGAAGACAGGGAACTGGCAAAATAACATGAAGCAAAAACTATATATGCAAGTCAAAACTAGTCAAGCAACAGTAATAAGACAAAAAGTTCACAAAATAAGAATTGTGTTCATACATAAAAGGGATACAGTCAAGTGGTTATACCATTCTGATTTCAAGACAATAAAAATATGGAAGATGAAACAGAGAATTGTTCATTTTTATTGGTTAGGAAGAAATCCAACATGAGTCTGTAGGATTTATCTATAAATTTGGGAAGGGAATGTTTCTAGTAGTCATCCCTTATTCCACCAATATGAAAAATTTATTTATATATTGATAAACCTGAAGGCATATGGCCATATCACATTGAAACATTGGTTCTCATCTGATCACCGAAGTTAAGCAACATTTAACCTGGTCAGTAGCTAGATGGGTGGTTGCTGGGGAATACTAAATTCTGTAAGCATGGATGTAGGGGTGGTGTAATGAATAAAGTCTTGGAATGAGAAATTGGAGAGTCAAGTTTGAATTCGTCTGGTTTGTTATGTTCACTTATGTGCAAATACTCTTGGGAAAGGTATGAATCCATCTCTTCTTCCCCCAGTTGTGGGTTAAATAGTAAGACTTGTATCAGAAAACTACTATTATCCTCCACAATTTCTTACAATCCAAAAATATGTTTCATCTTTAAATAACCTCAAAAAGGTTGATAAGCCATAAAAAACAAAATGAACAATCAATCAATAGACCTGAAAATAAATTATATTTATTATGTTGTACTTCTTCCAAAATATTTCTTTTTCTTTTTTTTTAATTCTTTAATAAGTGAGTTCCCATCAATTAACAGATAATAGTAAATATATATATATCCCATTCATAAATATATATCCCATTCATAAATATATATCCCATTCATAAAGTGTTATCTCTGAATTTAGAGCATTTACATTCTCCATAGCCTAAAGATATATTTCTTATAATGTTTTGTTTGTTTTTTTGTGTAATTTACATGATAAACTCAGTCAAAATCTCCCCCCTCACACACACACACACACACACAACACACTTTTATATATATATATATATATATACATATATTATTAGTTGAATAGCTCTAGACACAACCTGCTTCCCATAATCTAATCTCCTTCCCTATCTCTTTGTTTCTCTCTCTCTCTCCTTCCCTATCTCTTTGTTTCTCTCTCTCTCTCCTTTCCTATCTCTTTGTTTCTCTCTCTCTCTCCTTTCCTATCTCTTTGTTTCTCTCTCTCTCTCCTTTCCTATCTTTTGTTTCTCTCTCTCTCCTTTCCTATCTCTTTTGTTTCTCTCTCTCTCCCTTTCCTATCTCTTTGTTTCTCTCTCTCTCTCACCTTTCCTATCTCTTTGTTTCTCTCTCTCTCTCCTTTCCTATCTCTTTGTTTCTCTCTCTCTCTCCTTTCCTATCTCTTTGTTTCTTTCTCTCTCTCCTTCCCTATCTCTTTGTTTTTCTCTCTCTCTCTGTTTTTCTCTCTCTCTGTTTTTTTCTCTCTCTCTCTGTTTTTTTCTCTCTCTTTCTCTCTCTTTATCACTTTGTGCCTGTTACTCTCTTGCATTCCCATTATCTCTGTGGCTATTGTTTTCTCTACCTCTCACTTTATATCTGCTTTTCCTTCTCCCTCTCTCTGTGTCTGCTTCTTTCCCTCTTTGTTTTGTGTGTGTGTGTGTGTGTGTGTGTGTGTGTGTGTGCATGTTATTTGCCTATATCTCCATGTTTGTGCCTCTTTATGTGTATCTGTGTGTCTCTCTTTGTGTGTATGTCTGCCTGTCTCTTTCATTAATTAATGACCTACCTTAATATTTATTACTTATAGCTCAGTATCTATTGATTAGTAACCTTAGATCAAAGCTTGTTATCAAAATGTGTCAAAGATTTTAACACAGACTATTTTAATACTATTGTCATTGAATTACTATATTTTTCTATTACTAATGAGGAAACAATGTTACTTAATTGTCATGGTTAAAACTAAACCAGCCTAGTTGCTTTTAGACCAATAATATTTTTTAACATGCCTACCTTGTGAGGTACGAGATACATGCATCTATATATACACTGACATGCCTGAACAAACACATGTTTAGTGTACATATAATTAAAAGGATACCAAGTAACCAACAAAACCAATAAGAATTAAATGACATATTTTTCATTTTAATTTGATAAAACTGTTCGAAATAATGAACATTTTTTTTTTCTCTCAGAACAGAAAAAATTTACCTAAAAAATAATCTTGAAGTAACCTGAACATCCATACTGAGAAATGGCAGACCAAATAATGAATGTCAGTCACATGCAGCGTCAGGGAGAGGTTGGGCTGGGTATTTAGGGTAGTTGATTTGCTTCAATAGCCTTGTCCATGAAATAAGTCCATAAAATGCTTCCACTGATGAGTTCCTGCAGCTTTTTGCACCATGTAATAAAGGCTGTAGCAATGGCAGCAAGCAGGGAGAGGGACTAGGGTGTGGGACTCTTTAGTGTGGCAATGGCAGAGAGAATGATGACTGTATTTAAAGAAAACCACCAACGTTATTGTTGCTCTTGCAAGTTTAAAAAAACTAGAGAAGTCATTCTCATCCCATCCTCATTACAAAACATTGGAGTGTGTGCATGAGTGATTACAGTAGGATACACAAAAGAATAGGGAAAAGGTTTTGTTGTTGTTGATGATGATGCAGTAATGACAACAATGACACACTCCTCTTATTATTTTTTATATTCCTCTTTTTTTTCTACCTTTCTTTCCTTTTCATCCTCATCACTTTGTGGTCAGTCATGTGACTCAGTAGCTACTCAAGTACCTTTTTATTTGTCAATTTCCTGTGTTTTTTTATTAATCGTATCACACCATTGTTGGTAGTTTCTTTTTCTAGTTTTTAATTTATTTTGTTGTTTATTTAATTTATATTTTTTGATTTGTATATTTTTTTATTTATTATTTTACCAGTTTTCTTGCAAACTGGTATATAAAAATTTAGCTAAGTTTATCTAACGTTATAACACTTCCAACTATGTGTATCTATATTTTAGATGCATTATTTATTAATTAGTGATTGGGATATATAAAATATTTGAATTGTAAGATCATAGTGAATAAAGGATCTAAATATGTATTATAAATGGGGAAAAAAAATTTCATGATCTGAGTTGTTTTCTGAAGGTTGTAAAGGTTATGCAGAATGGAATTCATTTTTTTTTTTTTTTTAATTCTCTCCAATTTTCAGTTCATAGTTTTAAGTGATTAAATTATATATTTGTACCTGTATATGTAAATAGTATATATTTGTACAATATGCACTTAGGGAAATATTTTTTTCAGTCTTTTAGAATAAAGTTTATTTTTTAACTAATAACTTATAAATTGAGTACCCCTACACACCTTTATAAAGTTGTATGTATATGCATATCTTAAAAAAACCCTAAATTAATTATGTAAATTTTTAACTCAATATCCCATCAGTTATAAACCAGATTACTTATAAAAAATCAATTGTCATCTTTTGTCAGTTCTCTTCTTTTGTTGTCCTCTCTCCTTAATAATGTTTTTTCAAAATTTTTCACTCTCATTAAACCTTTGCATCTTAGTGACATTTTTGCCTTGCTTGGGATGAAATAATAATAATAACAAAAAAATTCTACCCAATTTGCTTATGAGTAAAGTACCTTAAAAACAATAATATAAGTATAAAAGTGCATTATAAACAATAAAAGATGACCTTAATTCTTTGTATTCTTGGTTCAATTAACAACATTGACACATGCAATTTACAATGGTTATCCATTTGACTGCATGAATTTAAATATGCTACTATATTGGCAGTTAGGTTTCATTGTTTTACCATTGAACTAGCTAGATGCAAGCATAAATTCTACTCTAATAGTTTCTTTTCTCACACCTCTCAGTTGAGGATCTTCCAATTTCTTGTTTTCCTGCCACCTACAATTTTCAACCACACATTTAAATGCAACATCAGTCACCAGCTTTTGTCTTCCTGAATCCTGTTTCTTTATTGTTCGTTTCCTCACTAAAAGTCTTCATCCGATCACTAAAGTGAAGCAACATTTAGTCTGGTCAGTACCAGTACCATTTTAAAATTAATTTACTAGCTCATTTCTGATGAGAGTGATTTTCTCTTTCCTGAAATATTTTATCATCAATTGATTCATTCATTCATTGATTAATAATAATAATTATTATTATTATTATCATCAACCCATTTCTGTGTAAAGTTTCCTTAAAATCTTCAGCTCATTTGATTAATCTACTTTGCTGGCTATTACTAATCTTAAGACTGGTGGATCTTAAACTTCAGATAATCCCCTCTCTAAAAGATTAAACACCATTTACTAATGGTTTAAATAGTTTTAGCATCCTAACATAGTAGGAATTAATTGAACTAAAGAAGGTATGAAATTACTAATTATTAAATCCAGAGGATGGCCTTAAACTTTTGTCCTATAATGTATCAAATATTATGTATTTATAACCAAATTTGTGAGTGTGGGTCCATTATATGTCTTCTGTGACTGTTACCTCAGTACAGTGAGCAGTTATTTATATGCTTCTAAATATTTCTTTGTATTACATCAAGAAAGACATAAATACATTTATGTCTATATACATTTGCTCAGAATATTATTCTTTATTCCATAATCAGTTCCTGTCAGTTTAATGGTATAAACCTGCTGGGTGCAGAGGGCACAACTGCACCTGGACCATAGTAGCGGGTAGGAGGTCTGCCTACTATTAAACAACTGCCATAATAAAGACACTTCCTACTTCAATTACAGTGTTGACCAATCACCATGCTCAAATTCAATCATTTTGATTTTTTTTTTTTAAATCATTCCTTTTTCTTCAAATAGACCGCTTTAGTTATTGTTTCTTTTTTAAATATTTTAATTTTGTCAGAGTAAAAGCTGCAGTAAACATAGCAAATAACTGAAGTAATATTCTGTGTCTTATTACAAAGTTTGCATGTATTCCATAAAGGATATTTGCAAATCAAGAGTAAAATGCTTATATATTGCTCATAGATTGGCTGCCATCTAATTCTAGCACAATTTAGGATATGGACTATACTGAATTAAAAACTTTAGTAAATGTAACAGGAAACCACTCTCTACTATCATTCTAAAAAAATCAAGGTAATTTTCAGATTAGGTAGCTGTGAAGAGCGTGACATTAAAAATGGTTTATTTATCAATTTATACAATTTATATTGATTTTTAAAAAAATATCAGCTTTAATTTTTATAAATTTTACCAAATACAGTTTTTTAAAATATTATTCAGCCATGTTTTTTTGTGCTTGTTATATGTGTCTTTCATCTGACCAAAAATAACTGATTATCCCTCATAACTTATTCAATGTCACCAATAGAACACATATTTATCTACTCCCACCACACAGTAGCAGGGCATGTTACATTGTCAGTTTTATGTGGGGGTGCCAGTATGGTACATATGGACCCAGTACAAAAATTGTTCAGCCTTTACACAGGTGTCAGAGTACTCCAACCCTCCCTCTTCAGTGCAATGAGGGAGGTGCTGTCATGAGGTTGGAATTCCAAAAACTGGTGTACCCAAATTGCTTTTACATAAACTGCTCAAAAGTAGAAAAATAATAGAGGAGGTGAACCGATATTACACTTTTTCCAGTCAAAAGGATGAGTAAAGAAGGTATTTAATACAAACCTCAATAGCAGGAAGATGTAATTCAAAGACAAACTCACTCTCTCCTCTCAGCCATTGATATGTTGTTAGTATCCACCCTATTTAGAGTAATGAGGAACTCCAGAATTGGAATCTTGAGGGCATGGCCTCCCTTAAAGCTTATACAAGAAAATGAATAGTACACTTTGATCCTAATAAAAATGTTGGATGTATCATTGTTATCAATAAAACAATATTTTTGATTAGAGATCATTCAATTACTAATCACCAAACTCCAGCTTGATCTTGTAACCTATCAGTCCAGAATCACCTCTAGTCTTCTGTTAGTATTAGCACTAAGATTCTGTCACTTGCTTGTTAGGCTCCTCACAATGAGAGATAACTTATAAAATTCTGTTTTAAAGGAAAGAAGGAAGTGACTGGAAAAAAAAAGAAGCAATCTTTTAATAGCATTCACATTTTAGCTAAGGTTGATCTGATTCATTTAGAACTAACACACTTTGGAAAGGCATAAATTCACTTTTCCCTGTGCTCTGTCCAAATGCCAGATATCTTAATGAAATTCCTCTTCTTTAGCATAATGGTTGATAGAAGAGGTTAGGGAGAAGTTGAGCAAACCACTCTCCCATAAGTACACTCTCAAGTAGTATCAGCAAACAGCTATAATACTAATACAGGTTTAGAATCATTTATCCAAATTTCTTGGGACCATAAGTGCTTTAGTTTTCAGATTGTTTCAAATTTTGGAATACAGGTTATTTAACTTGTATATATCATCTATAAGATGGGGACAGCTTGGGAATAGAACCCAAGCATAAACAAGATACCCCTTTACATTTCATAACACAGCTTATACATATACCCTGAATGTAGTTTTATATAAATAACATATACCCTGAAGGTAGTTTTATATAAATAACATATACCCTGAAGTTAGTTTTATATAAATAACATATACCCTGAAGTTTGTTTTATATAAATAACATATACCCTGAAGTTAGTTTTATATAAATAACATATGCCCTGAAGGTAGTTTTATATAAATAACATATGCCCTGAAGGTAGTTTTATATAAATAACATATACCCTGAAGTTAGTTTTATATAAATAACATATACTCTGAAGGTAATTTTATATAAATAACATATACCC